TCACGCGGTCACGGAAACGTCATCGTCCGCATGCACGATCACGGAAACGTCATCGTCGTCACACGCGGTCACAAAAACGTCATGGTCATCTCCCGCGGGCACGGAAATGTCATCGTTGTCTCCCGCGGTCACAAAAACGTCATCGTCGTCTCCCGCGGTCACGAAAACGTCATCGTCGTTTCCCGCGGTCGCGGCAAAATATTCCCGGTTAAATACAAAATTCACGCATAATTCCCGGTTCAAAAATATCACACATAATTCCCGGTTTTCCCGGTCGGTGGACACCCTGTTAGCAGAACGCTCTGTTCAAACATTGAAGAACCGCCTGAAGTCCACAGCTTCGGAAAACATACCAATGGCAATAAAGGTCCAAAAGATCTTAATGCGGTACCGGGCAACTCCTCTAGCATGTGGCAAATCACCGGCTGAATACGAATGGATGCCATTTTTCTTAACGTACAAAAAGCTTCAACTAGAAACGCTCCTTCTGCACGTTCATTCAATGAGGGGGAGAGAGTTCAGGTTCGTCTCTTCATAAACAACAAGAACGTTTGGGAGTTTGGAGAGGTAAATAAAAAGTTGGGAACTCGACACTATCTAGTTTCCCTTGACAAGTCAGGCCGACTTGTAAAACGACACATTGATCAATTGCGGTCTACTTTGATACCAAAACCAAAAATTGTTAGTGCGGGACCAATCCACATATTTGATGTTCCACGGGCTTCTAAACACAGCACAAAAGAAAATACTAAGGCTGTTACTCGTTCTAATCCTGAAAGACGTCAATTCCTGAAAGACCATCAACTCCCGTAAGACCATCAACTCCTGAAAGACCATCAACTCCAGTAAGACCATCAACTTCCGAAGGACCGTCAATTTCCGAAATACCACCAACTCCCAAAGCAAACAATGCAGAGTGATTGTTGTTGCTTCTTTAAGACTGTACAATATTTCATTAATAACAATTTTTACTATCATATGTTTTTCTATTGTATTTGTTTTGTAAACATTCATGAAATAGAATTTGTGTTGAGTAAATATGCGTGTTTCTATTAATTATTTTATAATTAATTAGAGTCATTTTAGTTGTATTTTTGGGAATTCTTTGCTCGGTTTGATTTCAGATTCTCTTTTTCCGTGTAGAAACTTTGAATCATCAAAAATATAATTTGAATTAACTACAAATATATTGAAATTAATGCCATGATTTGCATTTTAACATAAAAATACAACATTGCACAATCATGATATTTATACGAATCGAAAGGATGCCATTTTTTCTAACGTACAAAAAGCTTCAACTAGAAACGCTCCTTCTGCACGTTCATTCAATGAGGGGGAGAGAGTTCAGGTTAATCTCTCCATAAACAACAAGAACGTTTGGGAGTTTGGAAAGGTAAATAAAAAGTTGGGAACTCGACACTACACTCGATGCTGGGGTGCTAACCCTAATGTCCTCAGAACCTCAGCTTTAGCGCTCAGTGTGTCGGCTGCGGAGTACGCTGCACCAGTATGGAATGCATCGTCACATGCACAGGGTGTCTAGTTTATTTCCATTATAAAATTCAAGACTAATTCCAGACTTTTCAAGACTAATTCTAGATTTTTCAAGACTAGTTTTTCAACAATTATTGGGCGTTGATACCAAAATGTATTGATTCTCGATTCTTGATACCGATACCAATTTTTATAGCTTAATCAAATTTTCTAAATAATACTACACCAACCCCTGTCTTTGTCATAAAGTAGTATTATGATAATGTGGAGTTTTCAAGTAAAGAAATAATGCAGCAATAAAAAATTCTAACTAGCAAATTTGATTGTTTTTTTATCATGAAATCCTCCGCGTACCATACGTTTAGACATCATCATTGACAGCAGCGGTTACAGAAACGTGATCTTTGTCGTCAACGATTGCGGCAAAATCATGAACGTTTCCCGCGGCTGTTTAAACATCACCGTCGTCTCCCGCGGTCACAGAAACGTCATCGTCGTCGTCCGCAATCGCGGCAAAAACATGAACATTTCCCGCGGCTGTTTGGACATCACAGTCATCTCCAGCGGTCACGGAAACATTATCGTCGTCGTCCGCGATTACGGCAAAATCATAAACATTTCCCGCGGCCGTGTAGACATCATCGTCGTCTCCCACGGTCACGGAAACATCATCGTCATCCCCCGCGGTCACGGAAACGTCATCTTCGTCGTCCGCAATCGCGGCAAAATCATGAACATTTCCCGCGGCTGTTTATACATCACCGTCATCTCCCGCAGTCACGGAAACGTTATCGTCGTCGTCCGCGATTACGGCAAAATCATGAACATTTCCCGCGGCCGTGTAGACATCATCGTCGTCTCCCACGGTCACGGAAACATCATCGTCATCCCCCGCGGTCACGGAAACGTCATCTTCGTCGTCCGCAATCGCGGCAAAATCATGAACATTTCCCGCGGCTGTTTATACATCACCGTCATCTCCCGCAGTCACGGAAACGTTATCGTCGTCGTCCGCGATTACGGCAAAATCATGAACATTTCCTGCGGCCGTGTAGACATCATCGTCGTCTCCCGCGGTTACGGAAACGTCATCGTCGTCGTCCGCAATCGCGGCAAAATCATGAACATTTCCCGCGGCTGTTTGGACATCACAGTCATCTCCCGCGGTCACGGAAACGTCATCGTCGTCGTCCGCAATCGCGGCAAAACCATGAACATTTCCCGCGGCTGTTTAGACATCACCGTCATCTCCTGCAGTCACGGAAACGTTATCGTCGTCGTCCGCGATCACGGCAAAATCATGAACATTTCCCGCGGCCGTGTAGACATCATCGTAGTCTCCCGCGGTCACGGAAACGTCATCGTCGTCTCCCGCGGTCACGGAAACGTCATCGTCGTCCTCCACGATCGCGGCTAAATCGTCAGAACATTTCCCGCGGCCGTGTAAACATCATCATCGTCTCCCGTGGTCACGGAAACGTCATCGTCATCTACCGCGGTCACGGAAACGTGATCGTCGTCGTCCACGATCGCGGCAAAATCATGAACATTTTCCGCGGCCGTGTAGACATTATCGTCGCCTCCCGCGGTCACGGAAACGTCATCGTCGTCTCCCGCTGTCACAGAAACGTCATCGTCGTCTCCCGCGGTTTCGGAAACGTCATCGTCGTCGTCCACTATCGCGGCAAAATCGTGAACATTTCCCGAGGCTGTGTAGACATCATCATTGGCTTTCGCGGTTACGTAAACGAAAGACGACGATCGCGGCAAAATCATGAAAATTCCCGACTTTGAAATCAAATTTAAGACTAAATCCCGACTTTTCAAGACCATTTTAAAATTCAATACTAATTCCCGACTTTCCCGATTTTCCCGACTACTAGACACCCTGCATGCAAAAAAAGGTTGACATTGCAGTCAATGACATGGCTCGGATTGTAACTGGGGGTTTGAAACCAACCCCAGTACACAAACTCTATCCTATCATAGGGATCGCCCCTCCATCAATCCGACGTGATGTCGCTGCTGACGCAGAAAGGACTAAGTAAGAGACAGACCCTCGTCACCCATTACACGGCCACAAACCTGCAGAGCGACTGCTTCGGTCCAGAAAGAGCTTTTTATCACGGACACGAGTCCTGGATGGATCACTCTCAAGCAATCGGGTGGCAAGGTGGGAGGCCACGTTAACTAACCCTCCCATACCAGCCAGGGTGGAACTGGCTCCTAGTGGAGGCCTTCATTACACGGTGTGGAAGACCCTAAATCGAATTAGGGTCGAGGTACCAAAATGCAAGACAAACATGCAGAAATGGGGTCTCTTACCAGACGAAGAAAATATCTTGTGCGCGTGTGGTGCTGTTCAGGATCCTGCCCATCTGCTGATCTGCCCACGCCTAGACGAGTCTTGCACATTAGATGATCTTTTACATGCGAATGACAAAGCCATATCGGTAGTTAATTTTTGGAAAAGCGAAGTCTGATTTCCGGACACGGAAAGTAAGTATTTTAAATATACAATGCAGTCATTTTGACTTCATTTCGGATCATCTTTGGGATTAAGTAAATACAAATTGTTATTACAAACGGCATAATAATTGCACACTATGAAAATACGATATGATACAATTTGATGACTATCAAAGATTTCTAATGCTAATTTTATCTGTACATTACTTTTGTTGGCGTAGTTAATGTTTTAGTTGAATTTAGTTTTTTATTCAGTATTTTTTGTATGTCTGTTGTTTACGAATTAGTGCGCTTAACTTATTATTAAAATAATCCCTGTCCGTAGCACGGGCATACAGCTAGTCAATGGATAAATAACTGATAGGTTAGATTATAAATAACTGAAGTTTATAACTCACTGAGGGTAGGTCATCAAGCAATCGGTCAAAACACAAGACAAGAATTGAATCCTCAAGATGTCAAGGTCACTTACTACCAGTAGCAGGTATTCAGTTCATACTCTCTCTCTCTCTCACTTGCTCATGAAGAAGGAGGGAGGCTACCACCCTTCCCACTCCCGTACCACCCCTCCTCTCACACACGAGTGGTGTTAGTGCACGAGCGCACGTATGGACATTGATTTGTTCTAACTAACTTAGTTTTTAAATGGATACATATAATGGGAATATAAAAATATATGCTTATATAAATTTAAAACGGAAATTTCACTTCATGATGCAATAAAAAAAGGTATTTAAAAATATGTATAACAAAATTTAAAATATATATATTTTTTTAATAGATCATTGGAATGAGCACAATGTTCTTAACATTTACCTACAGTTTCATTGCCATGGTGTTTTTCGTTTCGATATGTAGTGTGCATGAATGCTCAAAATGTACACTTGAAGACCGCATGTAGGCCGCAATAAATAATAAATCTTTTTTATTTTTTTAAAATGGTAGATTTGGTTTTGACTACATAAAACTTAAGGTTTCAAAAAAAGATATAAAATTTGTTTTTGTTCATACACCCTTAAGAAAACAAAAATCACCTTTAAGTTGTTGTGTGTTGGTTTCTTATAATTCACACCAAATATGTCATATTCTTCCTCATAAGAATCTGGATCTGTAAAAAAAACTATACTATAATACAAGTACAGTAACGTTTGCACACAGTATGATTTCAAAAATAGCTTTAACAATTTACTCCAAATTGTTAGGGATATCTTAGTTTTAGCAGTTTTAGGCTAAAATCAACATTATACTTTAAAAAATTTCTGTTTGTTTTACTAACTAAATGTAAAAGGCCCCCTTATATAGTAACTAAGGATAAAAATTAATAACACTTAAAAACTAAAGAAAGTGGATGTTACCAATTGTTTATTTACGAGTAAATTGGAACCTCAATAACCAGACTTGATAACAAGTCTTATTTAATAGTCCCCATTAGAGTCTTGTCAACGAGGTTCTACTGTAAATGTAATCAATGTTGGTAAATTGGTGGCTTTAGCTATTTAATACAACTAAATATTTCTACTAAGAATGTGAAACATTGTACTTAAAACTTACGAATAACAAACTAAGAATAATTAAGACCATCACTATGTTGCATTTCTCTTCTTTTTAGCCTAAATTAATTTTGAAAGAAAATTTGGTTGAAATACGCAAATCTAATTAGGCTAATTTGTCTTAATCTCAGGGTCGTTTTTTTTTTTATCTAAATATTAGGGTGTGTGGTGGAGCTGTGTGAAAATGATAACTTACAACATCGTTACGGAAAGAGTTATTTACTGTTTTAGAATCAATTACAATAAGTTAATTTTACATAGCCCAAGGTATAATTTAAATACAATAGGTAATAGAGTTAGCCTAGTTTATGATAAAATTAATTAATCTACATTATGGATGGGATAATTGAGGTTAAACCTACACCTGACTTAAACTATATGGGAAAGGTATCATAGAGTTTATAGTGGAGTCTTTGGTTAATAGATTGTTATCAAAAGTTTTTATATTAGTTCAATTTGTAAAAGTTGGTATGTACTTGCGAATTTGGTCAACGTGCAGATCTTCAAAATAGTTAACTTACAGTCTTCTTCACTAATTTTAATGTATAATTAATAATTGTAGGCCTATTTTGCTTGTAGTTGATTTATTAATAGAATTTATGCCATTTTCAAAGTTTAAAAACAGTTTGTTAATTTCTTAAAATTGAGAACATAATTTTATGGCCACTTCCTTTGACTCGTTATCCCAAGAAGAAAGAGAAGTACGTTACGTTAGTTCTTTTCTTCATTGCCTCAGATTCAAGATGGCTAGCTTCTACTTACTTTTTTTTGGTTAAAAACGAGATAATTTTCAGAAATTGTTCACCTACACCGACTTGAATGTCAACTCGTAATCCTATTGGCTTAGAAATTTACGTGGTTTAGTCCAAATATATTGTCTGCATGTAGCTTTCTCTTAGCTTTTTTTTAGTTTCGTTGCAAAATGATTGAAAACTATTCCCGATCTTTGATCTAACCTCTTTATTTTAGTTCTCTTTGGTGTCTCGAGTTCTGACGTCATCCACCTTTTTGATTTGAATCTAACTTTCCGTCTGCAATGTTTTATGGTTATGTTTCTAAATTACCATTATTTACGATTTGGGCAGAAAAATATGTATTATCATTATTTAGGTTTTTATCACGGTTTTTTGTTTGCCGTTAACGATCGCTTTTACCCACCGATTTGGTTGTATGATTTGAATGCAGATTTTTAACATGTTATGAGGATCAGAATACAATTTTATTAAACAAATACCATTCCTTTTATCCATTTTTCCTACTAATGTAATATATTTCAGAAGGTTTATACTATTTATTCATAATTTACAGTAGAAATTAGTTAGTTGAGCCTAACTAGGCCTAGGCTAGTAACTGATTAAATAGTTAGGCTTTAATATGTTGGCTATTTTTTATTTAGGCTTTGTTTTGCAAATAGGCTATTGATATATGACCTGCCACAACTACAAGTTTTTATGAAATTTTTTTGTAACCATTAAGCGTACAACAACGCTTCAATATACTAAAATATCTGTTTTTTAAGCTCTAGAAAATAGTCCAGAAAGTGTTTAAAAATTTAGATTTCAAAGGTCAATCATGGGCAACCACTTTTTACCCTGTTAAACCCTCCTCCCATATTGGTCTGTGAACTCTTTAGAATAAACTTAGCTAGCCGACAAGTTTGTACAAAATTGTATCAAAATCAGACTAATGTCACTCGGGTTATGTAAAAACCGGAGGTCTTAAGGTGGTCCAGTGCAAACATTGAGTGCGCGGCCCCTGACTACCAAAAAAAGTAGTATCTCTACAATACTAACTAAAGAAAACCTCAATGTTTAATGTACGTAGTTATACTCCCTTCTTTTCTTTTTTCATAATTGACATAATTTACGTAAAATTAACATATTTCTTAAAATTCTTATAGTATTTTGCACAAAGGGTAGGGTCCTACGAGGTACAGGGCCCTGTGCGGCCACACCATTCGCACGTGCCTAAGGTAAAAACAGAAACATAGACACACACATATATGAATTTAAACACAGATGGTGTTTTGGCCTCTGGCAACATAAAAAGAAATTGAATCAGCCCCGGGTCTAGGTTTTACCATGAGAGTTATGACAAAAAAGTATTTCCTGGATAGGAAATTCGTTAAAAAATTACTTACTCTTTTGTTACACTCTCCTTCCAGCATGTATGATGCTTAAATATTCATAATTAAATAATTTATTTTTAGTTTTAGTTTCGGGAGCACCAAACCACCTGTTTAATCATATCTTGAATCTTACTAATATTATAAATCTGAAAGTTTGTGAGTTTGTGTGTGTGTTTGTGTGTGTGTTGCTCAATCACGCATAAACTACTGGACGGATTGGGCTGAAATTTGGCATGATGATAGCTCACATTCCCAATTAACAACATTAAGGCATATTTTTATCTCAAAAATCCTTTTTGGCTCCGCCCCAGTGGCTATGTAGTTTCCCATGTTAATCTTATGAGTATTCATATTTAAAGGGAATTAAAGAATTTAGTCAGCTGTTTCAACTTTACAAGTTGGTTCTATAATATGCAATAGCATTAAAAAGTTATAAGGTTTCCCAACAGGGTGCAGCACTATTATTATTTTGTTTTTGCATATATGACAACAGCTAATTTGAACTAAGCAGCAACAAAAAGCAGTGATACACAATGAGAACTGTCAAAGTAAGATTGTTTACAGTTAGGTTTAAGTTTTTAATTTAATGTATAATTTGTGATATTATGCGAAAGTTTGATAATTTATTTATTTTTCTATTGTTTAGGTGCAGTGGTATAACATTATGGCAATGGTAGATGTGTTATACTATATCATACCGTATATTTATGAACCAAATTTTATCAAACTGTATCCTCCCCCATTGAAAACGCAAAGCTTGAGTATAACTGCAATAAGCATTTTATACTTATATATGCCAACCCCGTACGAAGGACGGGTGCTCTGCTTGTCTACAATAAAATCAATACCTTTATTTTCCATCTTTTTCTTCTTGTTCGTTTGCACATTTAATTCTTTTGACTTCCTTTTTGTAGCAGGTCCCTTAACAATATTTTCTTTTTTCTGTAACAACAAAATTCAAATTTACAGTAATCATACGACTTATTTCTTTATTTCAAATTCAAAATAAATGATTTATTAGCTTATATGTTTTGATTTTCACAAAATAGGGCTGCTAATATATTAAGGTAGTATACAGACTGTCCTAAAAGTCCCAGACCGGTTTAATATTTTCCAAACGATATCAGATAAATCAATAAATTTTGCACATCAACACTACACCTAAAAATCTACTTTTATATGTTTATCACATTCAAACACTTACGGGAATTATTTGTTTGTGTCAAAATCGTATATTATTGTTCATATATTTATTCTCTGTTAATTTTTTTGTTGCCATTTTGTTACCCGTAGATTTACAAATTTTATACCTTGTTATGTTTGAATATGTTCATGTTGTATTGTAGCACTAAATTTAAGACTGTGATCAACATCTTAGGAACCAATTTATGTTTTAGAATAATTAAGGACTGAGAATCAATTTTTAAGAGATCAAGACGAAGCACCTGTACATGTGATTTTCACAAATTTGTATGTTATGTGCAAATAAATTATCATTATCATTATCATTATCATTACTTTTTTAAGGAACTATCAATTTTCTGTCATATCATGGGGACGTCCCGCAAGGAGTCAGAAGGAAATCTTAAATAGAAGCATAGGTTGACACGTACATAAAATTAAAGGTCTTTACTAGCAGAATATAATGCCGCAAATTTGAACTCAAACGGATAACTGAGTAAAAAATGGCAGCCGTTCAAAGATTTCTTGAATCTGCCATTTTGAATCTTTGAACGACTGCCATTTTTTACTCAGGCCTTCTTTTGAGCTTGAATTTACGGGATTGTAATCTACTAGTGAAGACCTTTATTTTGAGGTGCATATCGACCTATGCTTACGTTAACAATTTTCTTCCGATTCCTAGGGCTGTGCCCCCCGAGGAGTTAGCGTATAATAGCAATGCAAATTGAATGAATCTTTGAACCACTGTCATTCTTGACTCGGCTGTCCGTTTGAGTTCAAATTTGCGGCATTATATTCTGCTAGTTAAGACCTTTAATTTGATGTACATTTCAACCTATGCTTCTATTTAAGATTTAATTCTGACTCCTTGTGGGACGTCTCCATGATGGGACAGAAAATTGATATTTCCTTAAAAAAGGAGATTTTTAGGTGTGGTGTTGATGTACCAAATCTTATTGATTTATCTGTTGTCGTTTAGAAAATATTAAACCGGTCCGGGACTTTTGGGACAGTCTGTATAAAAAACAACTGTGCACCCTGAAATTGTAGTAGTTTTCATCTCTCCGTGTGATGAACATCTATTTTCTGTGGAGCTTAACAAGGCCACACTAAAAAAACAGGCCGTAATGCTCGTCAAGCATGACATCACGATGGAAGACGACAATGACGTAATGTTTGCCGTTTGCGATCAGCTGCTTGTTTTAATCTTTCCTTAGGAAATAAATAAATAAATACTTACGTCATTGCCGTCTTCTATCGTGACGTCATGCTTGACGAGCATTACAGCCTGTATTTTTTAGTGTGGCCTTGAGCTTAACCGTCACAACAATTTAAGTGTTCCGCCAAGAAGGCACTCTTCGGGTCATGTGAGTGCCAGCGCATGCGCAGGAGCAAGGAGATGACAAGAGAGGACTAGAAGTCTTGTCTTACCGCTGCGATCGAACACCCAACATGTGTACGTGATAGGACGCTAGGGACAGGGGGTAAGGACCCCCACATGAGGTAAGGTGTTAGTAATGTTATTCTAAATTCCCGTAATTTTTTCCAGGTCATGTAGTCAAAAATGTTCATCTAATTTCCCGTGTCATTATTGTAATATTAATATTTTGCTCAATCGTCAATTCACGTTGTGTCCAGTCGTCTGACCAATAATTGTTGCATATATCGAAAGGATAATGGTATTTCTGTATTTAATGCATTACAATTAAATTAATAATCATCAAAGCTGGCTATTTGGGCCTGTGACTAGCAGTAAATTGTCTCCTCGGGTTGAATAAAGGAGTCCAGTTTTCACTTCCAACACGAACGGTTTGGTTATGGTAATCATTCACATGACCAAATCACCCAAAATGTAGCCGAGTTTGCCACAAGTGGTAGCAGAGCGCCACATTTCATCATACTGTGGAAATAACCTTCTATAGTCCTACAGCTGGCTATACTTTAATGTTCGAACTTGCGTACATACTAAATACTCTTGCATAACCTTTTAGTTTAATGTCTAGAGAGTTTAACAAACCTGGGAACCTCCTACAAACCTCATACCCCCCAAGTTTTCCGGCTATGACATCATCAATATGGCGGTAAAGGATTTCTTTTAAATTATATATTTCACATACTATTTGTCAGATCGGGATAAACTTTTTTTGATTGAAAGATGAGTTTACATGCTATCTTTCTTACATGTACACATTTGTTGTATGATTATTACATTTTTTGTAATTTTCCAAAAACCTGTCTTAAAAATGTTTGTGTTACTTTCGTTAATAACGTTTTATTGATACAATATATCATAAATAACCTATGGAAAAGGTTGTAAAACGTTTAAAAAGCTTTACAAAAATACCATATTTGATATGCTATACACAAAAGATGAAGTCAAGAAACTAGATAAATCTCACTAAAACACTTAATTTGGCACAAAAACGCCTATTAGTCCGACATCTAGGGCTGTGTGCAAAGTTTTGCCATTTAATGTTGATGTAGGTGTCTATAGAAGTTTTTTCATCTCGGGTGTCTTGTCTGCACCCACTGCATATTCCGGATGACGTCATCAAAATGACGGACAGGGCTATATTAAAAATAACCATGTTTTACATATTATGTATCGGATCGGGATACAATTTTTTTGTTTGAAAGATAAGTTTACATGCTATCTTTCTTACATTTACACATTTGTTGTACAGTAGAACCTCACTGTTGTAATTCGAACCTCGATAATTCGAAAACCTCTATAATCAGTAATGTTTGTCTGTTACCCTCAGAAAACCTCTAAAATTCAAAAAATAATATACCGATAATTCGAAGTGATTTTTTCAATTATTGCAGCTTCTACAATTCAAATTTTGTTGCCATAATTCAAATTGTTACCTTCAAAACTCGAAGTCAACCTCTACAATTCGAACTGTGTCACCGTAAGCCTCTGTAATTTGAATTTAGAACAAAAAATATGCCTGTTGAAACATGAACTGACGCTCTTATTGATGTTCCACAATGTGTTCATTATAGTCTCCGTTCTCTCAAACTCTCTACACTAAAAACTGGGACCTCCATAATTCAAATTTTATTTATTCTGACCTCTATAATTCAAACTTGCTATAATTTGAAATATATTGTCTTTCCTCTGAAATTTGAATTAGCGAGGTTCTACTTTATGATTAGTACATTTTTTGTAATTTTGCAAAAAAACCGATATTTTTAAATATTTTTGTGTTACTTTTGTTAATAACGTTTTATTGATCAATACATCAGAAATAACCTATGTAAAAGGTTGTAAAAAGGTTGTTGTAAAAGGTTGTACTTGAATGGTATTATTTTAAGTAAAATAGGGTGGTGAAAACGTAACATGTCAGCCATTTTGATGACGTCATAACCGGAAAATGCAGTGGTGCAGACACGACACCCGAGTTGAAAACACTTCTTTAGACACCTACATCATATTAAATGGTAAAACTTTCTATATATGACTTGCACACAGCCCTAAATGTTGGAATAATAGGCGTTTTTGCGCCGAATTAAGTGTTTTTGTGAGATTTATCTAGTTTCTTGATATTTTTGTAAAGCTCTAATTACGTTCTACAACCTTTTTCATAGGTTGTTTCTGATATATTGTATCAGTAAAACGTTATTAACAAAAATAACACAAAAATCTTTAAAAATGTGGGTTTTTGCAAAATTACAAAAAATATACTTAACATACTACAAATTTGTAAATGTAAGAAAGATAGCATGTAAACTTATCTTTCAAACAAAAAATTTGATAATGCTAAGTTCAAATCAGAAGTGTCTTGTAGTGCTATTCTAAGTTTGTGTTTTACTGTTCTTCCAGCATTCCCGGCTAAGCCATTAGTCTTTGGGTTATATGGTGGAGAAAGTGTGTGTTTGATTCCATTTTTTCGCAAAAATGTTTGGAATTCTGTACTTGTGAAAGGTGGTCCATTGTCACTGACAATGTGATCTACTAAGCCAAATCTAGCAAACAATTCTCTAAGATGAGATATTGTGTGTTTTGCTTGCGTTGATGGAACGGGTAACACTTCCGGCCACTTTGAATAAGCATCTTTAATTACTAAAAATAACTTTGATTGGAAAGGTCCGAAAAAATCAATATGAATCCGGGACCACGCCTTATCCGGTACATTCCAAGTGTGCAAAATCGACTTGGGCGGAGTTACACGTTCCTTCAAGCATGATGTACAATTACCAGCAATTTGTTCAATATCTAAATCAATATTTGGCCACCAAACGTAGGATCTTGACATACAGAAATACAGTACACTCCACAACCAATCAAACACCAGCAGAGTTAATGTTAGGCAGATCTCTGAAATCAAGGTTAGACTTAATTAGACCTAATGTGAAGGATGTCTTTAGTAGCAATCAAAACAGACAAGTTTCAGCTTATGGTGGTGTCACAACTCGTAGATTATTTGTTAATCAACCTGTGTTAGCTAAAGATTACAGGGGAAGGGAGAGATGGATAGAGGCTACAGTTATTGAAAAACTGGGTCCTGTAACTTATTTAGTTGAACTAGAATCAGGCGTTCAGTGGAAGCGTCACATAGACCAGTTGATAGCTTTACAGTCTAAGCTAGGGCAGCAGTCAGATTTAGTAGTAGAATTTCCCAAAAACGATCTGACAACGTCGCTTCCAGACAGACAACCGGCAACATTGCAAAATTCGCCAGACCGCACACTGACAGGGAACAGTAGTGAAGGTATGCGAGCTCTTCCGGGCACATTCGGACAGAGAACTCCGATAT